TTTTCAGGGACACAGGCTGATAGTCGATTGTCAAAGCATGATAATCGATTATCCAAAGATTCCCTGTCCAAAAATTTAAAATTCTATCCGTTGGAGGACAACGGTAACCCAGATAATCGATTGTCAACAAGTGATAATCGATTATTGGTCCTCTCAGAAGATTCTGGGTTTTGGCTGCAAAGACTGATAATCGATTATTGCAAAGCTGATAATCGATTATTGCGTGCTTCAGAACATTGGAAGTTCAAAGCTGCAGGGGCTGATAGTCGATTGTCACTAAGGTGATAATTGATTATCACCCAGCTAAAGTCTAGCTAGCTGAAACCCGTTTTGAAAAACCGAGGTCCAAAAACGAAGTGTTCCCAAAAGTAAAAACCATGTTTGGAAAATATTTTATATGGTATTAAATAGTGAAAACAAGACTTGTTTGGTAAAAACCAAGTCTCCAAGGTCGTATAATACGTACGTACGGTTTAGACCGATTTTCACGTGTTAGACCGATTGACCAAGAAACAAAAGTGGTTTTTATAAAATAATTATTTGGGAAAATTTTAAAAATGCTCAGAGGTAAAAACAGGGTTTAAAAATATTGAAAACCACGGAGTTGGTTCGGGCGCCAAAAATCGAACGCCGAAAGCCGAACGTCGAAAGCCGAACGCCGACTTAGGTGGTTTTGGTTCTGAGCAAGGACCAGGGATTTTAACAATAAAAGAAATCATCAAAAATTTTTGTTTTTATGCACAAAAAATATTTTATGGTTTGTAAAAATTGTTTTGACTTTTTGAGAACCGAGACTTGAATATATTGTCGGTTTTGATCACAAAAGACCGACTCGACTAAGTCTTCAATTCCTGATCTTGTCCTTGAGTCTTTTAGGTCTTGTTCCAAGCCATTCTTCACGCCTTAAGTTATTCAACGAAACTCTTTATATCCACAGCGGTTTGGCAATTATCAAAACCTGTCAGAAATGAACACGACTTTAGTTTATCGTACAAAGCGTGTTCCAACATGTGTGTGTGTGTGTGTGTGTATCTATACATATAAAAAATATATATTTGGCAAATTTTATATGTTTGAATATGATTAATTATCTTATTTTTGCATGTAAAGTTTATTTAATTACTCATTCTTGGAAGAATATTAAATGTTGGTGCCACATAAAATGATTTTTGAAAAAACTCATTCTTGAAACAATAGTAAATAAACTTAATGTAGTGTAATATATGTGTGCCTAGGAGATAGTATTGTTATGGTCAGTCTTAATATTGAATATAATAAGTGTTCAAAAATAATTATTTTTTCTTCATGTGTCTTACCTTTGTCTGATTCATCATCATTCACACTTTTGGAACTAATTGTGGCACTTTTGGTTAGCTTTCTCATTTCAAGCAAATTTGTCATGTGACAACATGTAATATTTTTTTAATCAAGGGCCTGGAATTTTAGTTATTCTATTCATTTGAAGAAAAAATTTATACAAAGTATGGAGAAGGTTATAAATATTTTTCAGTATATAGTAATATCGAAATGCCTTTTTCAAGTATAAACGGTTCATTGTTCTACCAACTGTAAATTTTGGTGTATTAAGAATGAGAATTGAATAATTAGTAATGTATACTTACCTTCAAAAATAATAAACTCTGCTGATTTTCTTTGCTCAAACTTGCCTTCAATGAGGTTATTGGTGTGGTTGTATGAATTTAATGTGGTAAGGAATGGCTTGATAGTAAAGCTATAAAGAGATATAAATGAATAGAAGATAGGCTAAGTTAGAACCTAAGCCTAGCAATACTTAAGAGGTATGTGGTTGTATATGATTTACTCCCATTTTAAAAGAAATGTATGAAATGGCTAGACTTTTTTCTAAAACACAAACCCTACTGTTCATTCTACACATTATATTATTTTGTTCACTAAAAATATTTATATTTAAATATTCAATGAAATAATTAATTTTGTGTGTACGGTTTATGGTTTTTTTCAAATAGAGTTTAGATGCGAATATTTTCTAGCTTTGAAATGTAGGAATAAGTGAAAAACCTGATTTCAACTAGAAGGGTGTGTATATATTCCTTGGGTAATTAAAAAGTAGATGTCTTAAATGTTAAGATATTATACAACAACCCATTGTCAAATCTAGCTAGCTTATTATATGCTTTGTTCTTATCCCTCTACTTTCAACCATGTACATATATTTAAAAAAAGTAGTGTATAGGTTTCTTGGGTTATTAAAAAGTAACATCAATGCTATTATTTTTTTTACATTCATATATTCCATCGTAATTATTATTTTTCAACATAGAGGATTATCAAATTTTGTTATTTTATAAAATTACTTATGTCATTTTGTTATTTTTCAATATATATATATATATATATATATTAGTGAGAATGCGATCCTAGGAGAGAAATGAGAATGAATCTGGTGCTTTAGATTGTAAGATCTAAGGGTCGGGATTGCATCAAAATTCAATAGACCAAAATGGTTTGAAAATGCATCACACTGAAATGCATCAAAATCATATGAAAATACACTATCTCAAAATCTGAGCGCAGGATGCAATTTGAGCCGCAAGATGCATCAGATCCAACGGCTAGATTTTATTCTCATTTCTCTCCACAAGGTGCATTCTCATGGGAACCGGTCCCTATATATATATACACACACACACACATATAAATACATACATACATACATACATACATACATACATACATACCTATATATATATATATATATACACACACACACACACATACATATATATATGTGTGTGTGTGTGTGTGTATGCATGTATGTATGTATGTATGTATAAATATAAAGTAGATGTATTAAATGCTAATATACCCTCAACCCCATCAACTGTTGTGGGCCAATAAAAATCGTAGGTATTATATAGAACTGTGTTGGGCCAATAAAAAGTAGGTGTATTAAATGCTAATATACCCTCAAACTCATTAAGCAGTGCACACATAACTGTTTTTTTATCATTGAAGGTCTTGAATATATTTTTTGAGCAACAAAAAGGTAGAGGTATTAAATTTTAAGATATTGTCCAACCAACCCATAGTTTTATCTAAACTCACACTATTTTTTAAATATTTATATATTTTATCAAAATTATTATTTTTAGAGAAATAAGATTATCAAATTTTGATATTTCACAAAGATGAGAAGAATATATCTGATTATTAAGAAAAAAAATTTTTATTAATACAATGCATCCATGTAATGATTCTGATAATATTTTATCAACTATATTCACTCAATTAAATTCAGCCATGTAGCAATATATCAAATTATATAATTTAGTTGTTTTCCCAATATATATAAATACGTATATTAATCAGGAATGATTTTAAATATATCTTGGGCCATTAAAAAGTATGGTAATAAATGGTAACTTACATCATGTCAAATCCAAGTTACTTATTAAATGATTTGTTCCTATCACTCGAATTTCTAACCGTGTACATATATATAAAAAAGTAGTGTATATATATTGGGTTATTAAAACTTAGATTTATTAAATGATAAGATAGTGTGTTGGAACCTTCACTGAATTATGTCTATATATTTCTTGGTTTTCCAAGAAAGTAGATGTATTTATTGCTAAGATCTTCTTATACCCATCTCATCTCTATTATCTTTCTTTGGAGGATGTGTAAAAACTTTTTGGAGGAAAAGATATTTTCTTAAACATACAAATTCTTAATTTACAAAATTTCATAACATCCTTTCCTTAGAGATTTTGAAAAACAGTTGCTCTGAAATTAACAATAAGATGAATTTTTTTCCCCTATCTTTTTATGAATGCTCATAATAAAATCATTGTAAATACTCTTTATATCCGAGTTAACAACATGTTTTTAAATATCATTTCTCAGATCTGCCAGAATAAGATCATGTTAATATAAATATCGTTTTTAATTATCATTACTGCTGTTAGACATTCAAGTTTATGTTTGAAATTATTTACTCTGTATGATACGTATTACTCAATACCGATTTAGAAATAAGATACAAAAAGTTCTGCGTAGAATAAAGTTTAGGGTATGAAATTTTCAAATCACCTTGGAAATAGACCACATAAATCAATTAAGAAGAGTCATAATAACGTCTTGAAGTGGACAATATCCAGTAATAAACACAAAAGACAAAAATAAAATTCAGGTTCTATGGATCTGTCTACTTTAAATTAATCCATTACTTCAAGACAATAATTTTTCCAAAGCCTCCCTCTTGAGCTTCTTCTTGGAAGATGTAGTGGATAGTTCGTCAAGAAGTTGCCTCTTAACAGGATCATCAATATCAATTGCATCGATCTTCCTTCTCGAAGTCGCCTCGCCCTGGCTTGAACTTGGGTTGTTTGATCTAATCTACGTAAGATAAGAAAATTTTAGGAATTCGAAAATTTGGTTGGGTATAATGTTAGAATTATTTAACAAAGATACAAATCCAGACCACTGTTTCAACTTTTTGGCTTAGATCCTCAAGAGAGTTCCACAAATCCACATCTTCCATAGAGCCTTCACCAACAGTCTGGTTTATGCATTCATACTTCTTGAGAATATTTGGATCGGAAATGAATGAACAAACACCAAAAGACCTCGGACCATTCTAGTTAGGATTCTCCCCTTCGGACTTCAAGATCATGTTAAACAAACCATTTTGCCCAATTAAATGATTGAGCTCCGTTGTGAATAAATTTGGGTCCATTTTTCTCTACAATTAGAAGGCATCAGTTCAAATACAACTTTTTTTATATTTTAGGAAAATGTTGAAGTGTGTAAAAGATTTTAGAAACCTCAAGCATCAACTCTCTAAGAAGATAAGCACTTGCTCCCAAAATCTCTCTGTATTCTCTGTCCCATAGAATAAAAGAGGCATGGCTTGAGGCATCAAAAACATGGACATTAACCTTAAACTTGTTTGTTAGAAAAAAATCCCCTTCAATTCATAGTATATTTCAAAAATTCACAGAATATAGTTGTAAGAATAGTATGTTAACTCACTTGTAAACTCCATGTGGCATTATGAGATCACATCCAGAACATTTAAATTTGGAATCGTCAGGTATGACCTTTTTGTTGCATTCGGTGCACCCCAAGTAATACCAATCTAGTGTTTTTCAAGAGAAGAAATCTCGCCTAGAATCCAATAAGTCCTGGGTTGTTTATTTACATACAAATAAATTTCAAGTCCTATTATAAATCGGTAGCATCCACATAATTCACTTCACATATTGAAATGGGTAGGATATAAATGGCTAGAAATTAATATTTCACCTTTGTTGTGTCAAGTAGAGTCTTTATAAAGAAGTGATTTTCAGTGTTTTGCTTTCATCTTCATTTCCACCAACCAACATCAAACTGCTCACAGTACTCACATCATCCAATTGTAGCTAGGGGTGAGTGTTGTACGGTATTTAGCTTGTACGGATACCATACCAAATATTTCGGTTTGGTATGGGATTTTACGTTGCACCGATCCTGATCCCGAAGCATCAGTTCGGTATGGTTCGGTATCGGTTTCGGTACGAATCGGGATGAATATATATATACCTAGTTTACATCATAAAATATAACAAAACCATTTACTTTTGAAAAATCGAAAGTACATATAACCAAAGAAAGATTAAAAAAATATAAAAATGAAAAAATAAAATGCAAGAAATGCTTATGAAAGTTAGTTTATATTTCACAAACTAAAGAGAACGATTGATAAGAAAGTATTATTTCAAACATTTGTTAATATTCTTATACCCATCTACAAAAAATAAAACTCTTATTAAAGTACAACTTAAACATAATGAAATTAAACTAAATTGTCTATATAAATTTTTTATTTAATGAATAAATATATAAAGAATATTATTTTTATAATAAATTAGTATATATGTTCGGTTTGGGAATTTCGATATGGAAAGTAACCTCATACAGTACCCAAATATCGGACCGACCGTTCGGTTCGGTACAGTTTGGTTTCTTTTCAGTACTTTATCGGTTTGGTGTTTTTCGATTCGGTATTCTCGATTTTTTCGTGAACAACATATTTAAAATATTTTACAAAGAAATATATTAAAATTATTCTTATAACAATATCTGTTATTAATTTTATTTAATTAGTAGTCACGATAATGAGTATGAGCTCTTCATGAAATGCCAAAGCAATTGCTTTACCAATGGTACTTAGCTTATTGTTCCTTAGATAAAGATATGAATGATAAGGATGTTGATATAAAAAATATATAGATGTATGATTAGTTGTTTACTTTATTTTACCGCTGTTGGAATTTTTGGTATTTTTAATAGGCATTAAATGGACCAACTTGGGTATATTTTTCAATAGGTCCACTAACGGTTTTAACCGTTAATTAATGGACGTGCATTCTCTTAAATGAGATCAATGTTTTGATAATTTATATGCGAAAAATGGTAGAGAGTGAATGAGAAATTGATTCTCAGAGTTAACCCGTTAATAGAAGAATATGGTAAGGATTGCAATTTTACTGAACCAATCTTCTATTATTAATTTTACGTATTGTTTAAAATTAGTCCATTTTTACAGAGTTAACTGGCCATTAATCTCCAATTATTCGGGACAAATTCTAAACGGAGCGTAGCGTAACGGACGTGTTAATGGCTAATTAATCACCATTAACACGGTATTAAGTGCGCCACAAATGCCATGGATTAATTGTGTATATGTTACACTTTTAAAATGGATTAGTTATAAAAATCAAGGGCTCTCCATTGTTTGGGTGGTGTTTTGATGCATGAGAAAGGAAAGGAAAAATAGGGAAAACTTTCTTGTTTATTTGGAGAGAGCTCTTGATCTTCCAGCCGAATTTCCGGTACGGTAGGCGGGTACTACTACCTTAAGGACAGTTCCAGCGACTCCGCTGTCCTTCATAGTATTTTATTTTGCAGGTTCAGTTCATAAAGACCTCGCTGCATTCTGCCCTAGGCCATAATGTCTTCACTGGTGGTCTGGTTCAAGCCTTAATGTCCTCGCCACTACTCAGTGACCTCACTTCCTCACACAGTGTCTTCGTCCCAGACTTTCTGCTTCAGTCCAGTGCATAATGTCTTTGTTGTCCAGTGTATAATTAATGTCCTCGCTGTCCAGTGCATAATGTCCTCATACAACAAGGCCTTTTGAAGATATAGAAATTTATTTTCAACTTTGTTTGTTTTGTAATATTCTGAATAAATTATAAATTCAGAATTTTATTTATTTTTTTATTTCCGGGACCGTTCGTCTTCCTCGTCCGTTGTAATCCAGACGAGAATTCTAACAACCACTAGTATACCTGACATCATGTTTAACATTTTCATAACTGCGAGATATCTACCGCATCCTAAGGAATCTCATTTGATCGACGTCAATCCTTAAGTCTCTTAGAGGCACCTTGAACATGGACTTAATGATATCCCAAAGGTTCAGTTTGTAATCTAATTGAGTATTCTGATTCTGACTTTGAGGGTTGCAAAATGATCGGGAAAGCACTAGTGGAACATATCAGTTTGGATATTCACTTGTGTCTTGGTATATCATAAACAAGTTAGTATGGATTTGTCCATCGACAAAGCCGATTATATAATCGTTCAAAGTTGTTGTGCTCAAGTCTTCTGGATGAGACAACAACTGATGGACTATAACCTTTTGTGGTATCACATTCTCATCAAATGCGATAATATGAGTGTCATAAGTATTTTGAAGAACTCACTTCTAGGATTAGATACCATTTCATAAACGATCACGTCCAAAGGAAAAATGTTACTACTGAGTTTCTTGAAAAAACGAAATAGTTGGTTGACATTTTTCCAAAGACTATGAGAGTTTCCATATCTTCATTTTTGTGTAAAGATTGATACTAACTTAAGCATCATGGATGTTTTTAACTATTCCTTGTCGGGTAATAAAGTCCTTGTGCTTACTCCAAATATGTTGAAATTTGAAAGGTTTAGACTCATTATATGTCTTTGTAGTGATGTTGAGGAGGAAAGGGATTATGGTCTGAATTTGCTTTATAAAGCATACTGAAAGAAAAAGTTGTCTAAGGGTAACTCGAATTCATGATAATGGTGATGACACAATCGAGTTTATTGAAGATCATCATACCATTGTTAGCTTTGCTCGTCCAAGTGAAAGAACTATGTGTCACATGAATCTCCATGAGTGCATGGTTAAAAATGAAAGTATTAAAATTAGTCATGAAATGGGGGACAAGATTGTTCTGCCTACAATATTCAGCAAGGTGATAATCACGTTAAAACCACCCAATCAAATTATAAATTCTTATGAAAATCAGATCAGATTAAAAAAATGACATTGTTGGAAACAATCTTTTATTATACCTGGAAAATTACTCAAAACCAATTACAATAAACTCTCATATGTTTCTCATATCATAACCCAAGCTTGGCTAAGATATATATAGAGCTAATTAAGCCTAGGACCCATAATTCTATTCCTACTCGAACTAGAATATCTCGGGCAATCCTAATCATACTCGATAATTAGTCAACAATCACCCCCCCTAATTTTCGAGTTGGATTGCGGGTGATCTTCAACTCCAAGCATGTCTTCTTTATCTTGATTCTCCTGAAGCTCTTCATGATCCCTTGCAGTGTTCTTTGGGCTCCACTTAGCTTGAACAAACACTTGCTTCTTTCGATCATTACACGTCCTTCCTTGGGTTAGAATCCTTTTTTGACATCTCCTTTAAACTCTTGAACATTCTTCTTTGGACTTTGAATTTTGGGTTTCTCCATTAAACTTGGATCTCCGAGAAGATTCTGACTCATACTTTGCGTACCTTCTTTCAGTTGATCAACTCTTTGTAGATCCCTACCCACAAAATTCTTCATTCCAATCATGCTAACTTGAATACTGGGACTTGTTATCTTGAGATTGATCTTGTACAAACGATTCCTGGTCCTCGTCACCTTCATCATAAGCTTCCCTGTGTCATCATGAATGGTTAGCAAATCGTACTTCATGTGAATGTCGCATCCACCTTCCGTTGCTTGACCAAGGCTTATGATGTTGCTTTGTAGGTTGGGTATGTAGTACACATCGGTCAACATGCGCTTCTCCCCCGTTTTTCCTTCAAGTAATACAGATCCCTTTCCTCGTATGTCAATACAAGATCCATCTCCAAACTTCGCCTTACCCTTGACACGTTCATTAAGTTCAAAGAAGTAAGCTTGATTACCAGTCATGTGATTCGATGCTCCGTTGTCGAGATACCAAATGTCTTTCTCCTTTGGTTTAACCTCGAAACGCTTTGGAATCATCCCTTCTTCATTTAAAAAGACATTCTCTTGATCACATCTCATCATGAACAAAGATGGATCCAGAACATCAATTTCAGCTAAATTAGCTTCCTCTTGTTTCTTCGTATGCTCCGGGCACACTGATGCAAAGTGACCAAATTTATCACATCGAAAACACTGAACCTTTGATTTATCCTTTCTTCCCTTCTGACGATCATTGGTTCTTCTTTGACCCGTTCGCTTTGACCCATGATCTTGACCATCTCGGCATTGACTTCCATCTTGGTCATCACCATCCTGGTCTTGGTCTCTTCCTCGACCTTGGTTGCATCGGCTTTGTCCTCTCGATCCATTTTCTCCTCTTTGAGAATGAGAGCTTTCACCGTTGGAGAACAATAGTTTACTTTGCGTTTCTATATCTTCTTCCTTGATTCGCTCTTCGTAGGCTTTCAATCGGCCTATGGTTTCTTGAAATCCTAGTTTATTCAAATCTAGAACTTGCTCCAACGAGGCGACTATATGGATGTATTTCGAATGAGGAAGAGACTTTAGAAACTTCTTTACCATCTTTTTCTCTTCGATCTCTTCTCCAAGGGCTATGGATTTTGAGGCCAAACTTGATAACTTCTCAGCAAAATCATCAATTGACTCTAAATAATGCATCTTCAAATTATCAAATTCTGCATTTAGGGTTTGGAGACGAGCTTCTCTAACCCTCTTAGCCCCTAAGTGACGAGTTCTGATTGCATCCCATAGATCCTTCGCAGTCTCCTCATTGCCTACTTGCAATATCAGATTTTCTAGAATTGATTGAAACAAGAGTGCAGCTGCCATATCATTCTTCTCGGCATCAGCTGTGCCTGGTTCAATCGTTTCCCACACTTTATGAACCCTTAAGACGACTTTCATTCTCAGGGCCCATACGGTGTAGTTCGTAGCGTTTAGCATGGGACATTGGACAACTGTAAGTCCAACTCCCTTAACCTTTGGCTGTGGTGTCTCGGACTCTGTCATATTCTTCTTGCGTCTATTGTACGTCACGAGTGGTGTAACAGGATCCAGTACTTGAGTAATTTTGATTAAACCTTACTTGTTTACTCGAGCCGGATTAAACCTCACTTGTTTAATCAAAACACAATAGTGGACCAAAAACCTTCTGCCGAACTTCCTCTTTTTTTGATTTGTGCTCCGATACCAATTGTTGGAAACAATCTTTTATTATACCTGGAAAATTACTCAAAACCAATTACAATAAACTCTCATATGTTTCTCATATCATAACCCAAGCTTGGCTAAGATATATATAGAGCTAATTAAGCCTAGGACCCATAATTCTATTCCTACTCGAACTAGAATATCTCGGGCAATCCTAATCCTACTCGATAATTAGTCAACAGACATTAGATCAGAGAAATTGGACATATATGTGATCATGCCAAATTAAATAAAAAAAATTATACGAAGTGTTTTTTAAGTGTAATGAGAAAAAAATAGATTAGATGAAAAATTAGGTCATATTAAATCTTAATACATTTAAAAAAGAATAAATAATATGATTATGTAATACCTCGTCCTCTTGTAGTAAGCAAATTTCTACGTGATTCTAAACATCTATCGTGCTCATTTTATGAACCTTACTGCATAGACTTCATAAAAAAATTAAGTTTTTCGTGAAAAAAGAAAATGTTCGCTTGTTTATTCATGAAAACTATAAGAAAATATACATTTTACATGTGGACCATGAAAGAACAATTCTTCGTAGTAATGTTTTACCATTGACCAAACACGTAAATTATGAAAAGTAAAATTATATGGTTGAAAATGTATGAAAGGAGGGAAAAATTATAAGAATTAAAAAGATTTCCAAAAGTAGATTTTTTTTGAGAGAGATGAATAGGCAATGATGTTTTTTTTGGAAAATGTTATTTGTATTCTAAGAATTTGTACCCCATTTTGTACATTACAGAGATGCACCAACATTTTGTGTTGGTGTAATGCTAATTTTTGTTAACGTAGCAACACTTTATGTCAATGTGAACAATCAAAATGTTGTGCTTGTACAAATTTTGAGTTTTTTGAGAAAACCCCAAAGAAGTGAGGCCCACGAATGGAAGAAGGGTGAGATCTCAGGACATTCACAGAGTCATCTCCGATAGTTATGTATGTCTACCGGACAGGCTCGTCGTACACTCCAATTTTAGAAAAATAGGCAGGAATCGGAGATATGTATCAATGGAGAAAATTCGATTTCTTCGAGGAGAAGTATGCGGGAAAATTGCAGTGCTCTGAAGAGATAACGGGGAAGATCGAATGCTGCTCCGGCGGAAGAGGCAGGATAGTCTTGGGCTGCGACGACGGCTCCGTTTCTCTTTTGGATCGAGGCCTTAAGTTCAACTACTCCTTCCAAGCTCACTACTCATCTGTCCTCTTTCTTCACCAGCTTAAGGTTTCTTCATTTGCATCTCTAATTTTTCAATTTTCCTCGATGTCCGTAGATCAGCTATTTTACGCTCTGCTATGTAAGTTTTTATTTGAGAAATATCTGTTAAGACACTTTTATAGTCGCTCTGTGCTTGCTTTACAGTGAGAAAATGAATTTCTTAATGTCTGGCATTCCAATTTCCATATGTGTAGAGTGATATTCAAATACAGAGCTTAAATGGAGTAATTCTTTAGTTCATATTTTATGGAGTCTACCATTTTGAGAGGTTTGCCTCTCATCTGAGTAGGGAAGAGTTACCAAAAAGATGGGAAAATAATAGTCAGACAAGTTTAGGTGCATGTAGTTGTAAGCTGCAAGTGCATCCATAACTCCTGTACATGTTTATTTTGCAATGTCCTTTGCGTGTCTATGGTGAAGAAAAAAAATGAGAAGTACGGAGTAATTTTATAACCATACACTGGTTTATGTGACCCAGTTTTGGGGCAATGTATGTGCTTGGAATGCTTCCTACTAACCATCTCCTTCTCATTCTTGATCAAATTAGCAACGGAATTTCTTGCTAACAGTTGGGGTAGATGAGCAAATATCTCCTCAGGCATCAGCTACATGTCTTAAAGTTTTTGACCTCGATAAGACACAAGAAGAAGGGTCGAGTGCATCAACTCCTGATTGTGTTCAAATTTTGCGGATATTCACCAATCAGTTTCCCGAAGCAAAGGTTGTTCCAAGTTCAATTTTCTATAAACTTATGTTTTATGCACTCATAGTTTATTATCATCCAACACTAGCCTTTGTCTATTTTGCTTGAGCCGGGGGGTCTTTTGAAAGATCCTCTCTACCTTTTTGGGCAGGGGTAAGGTCTGCAAACACCCACACTCCCCAGACCCCATTTGTGGGATCTTATTGGGTTTTAGTTGTGTACTACTAAAGTAAGTAAATAACACAAAATCTTCACTACAGATCACTTCTTTTTTGGTAATAGAGGAAGCTCCTCCTATATTATTCATTGCTATCGGCTTAGACAATGGTTGTATATATTGCATCCAAGGGGATATAGCACGGGAGCGTATAAAGCGGTTCAGACTCCAGGTAGATAGTCATTCCAATAAAACCCATGCTTCCATTACTGGCCTTGGATTTAGAGCAGATGGACAGGCCCTCATGTTGTTTGCTGTAGCTCCAGAATCTGTTAGCATATTTAACCTCCAGACTCAACCACCTAGCCAGCAAACTCTTGATCAGATTGGATCTTCTGTTTCTAGTGTTGCAATGACTGATCGCTCGGTATGCCAATTTAATGGAGTAATTCCATTTTTATTTTAATTCATTAACTTGATGTCACATTATATGTTTATTCAATACAAAGCTCTGAGGTTGTTCTCTTGTAGGAGTTGATAATCGGTAGACCAGAGGCTGTATACTTCTATGAAATTGACGGTCGGGGTCCTTGTTGGGCATTTGAAGGAGAGAAGAAGTTCCTTGGCTGGTTCCGTGGATACCTTCTTTGTGTTATTGCTGATCAAAGAACTGGGAAAAACACTTTCAATATTTATGATTTGAAGAACCGGTTAATTGCTCACAGCGTGGTGGTAAATGATGTTTCGCATATGCTTTGTGAATGGGGTAACATAGTTCTCATAATGGAAGATAAATCTGCTTTATGCATTGGTGAAAAGGATATGGAGAGTAAGCTAGATATGCTTTTCAAGAAGAATCTTTATACTGTTGCTATTAACCTAGTCCAGAGTCAACAAGCTGATGCCGCTGCCACAGCTGAGGTGCTGAGGAAATATGGAGATCATTTATATAGTAAACAGGAATATGACGAGGCTATGGCTCAATATATTCACACCATTGGCCATCTGGAGCCTTCATACGTCATACAGAAGTTCTTGGATGCACAACGAATCTACAACCTTACCAATTACTTGGAGAAGTTGCATGAAAAAGGGCTTGGTTCGAAAGACCATACAACCCTGTTGTTGAATTGCTATACTAAACTGAAAGATGTTGAGAAGCTAAATGTATTCATTAAATGTGGGGATGCAGTTGGGGAACATAAGTTTGATGTGGAAACTGCAATAAGGGTATGTCGAGCTGCAAATTATTACGAACATGCGATGTATGTTGCCAAGAAGACTGGGCGACATGAATGGTACTTAAAGATCTTGCTTGAAGACCTTGGTCGATATGACGAAGCGTTGCAATATATTAATAGTCTTGAACTGAGTCAGGCCGGGGTGACGGTTAAAGAGTATGGGAAAATTCTTATAGAGCACAAGCCCACCGAAGCAATTGAGATACTGATGAGGCTTTGCACAGAAGAAGGCGAAGCCAGCAAGAAGGCCTCCACTAGTGTTACATATGTTTCCATGTTGCCATCTCCCATTGATTTTCTTAATATTTTCGTCCACTACCCACATTCACTCTTGGAGTTCCTTGAACAATATACAAGTAAAGTTAAGGACTCACCTGCTCAAGTGGAAATACATAACACACTTTTGGAACTATACTTGTCTCATGACCTTGACTTTCCATCAATTTCACAGACTAGTATTGGTAGAAATGGAAATGCTAGAGCAGAATTGCCATCTGCTCCCAAAGCAGGAGTTAATGGGGGGAAAATTATGAATACGAAAGAGGCAAATGAAGAAAAAAGTCACCACGAAAGACGTAAGAAGGGACTGAAATTGCTTAAGAGGGCATGGCCTTCTGAACAAGAACAACCTCTATACGATGTTGATCTTGCCATAATTTTGTGTGAAATGAATGGCTTCAGGGAAGGATTGCTATTTATTTATGAGAAGATGAAACTCTACAAAGAGGTAATTGCATGCTACATGCAGGCGCATGATCATGATGGTTTAATTGCTTGCTGCAAGAGACTCGGTGACTCGGAAAAAGGTGGTGATCCTTCTCTTTGGGCAGAAGTATTAAAGTACTTTGGTGAACTTGGGGAAAACTGCTCCAAAGAAGTGAAAGAAGTATTAACTTATATTGAAAGGGATGATATCTTGCCTCCCATTGTTGTTCTTCAGACTTTGTCGAGAAATCCGTGCCTTACACTTTCCGTTATCAAAGACTATATAGCTCGTAAGCTGGAACAAGAGTCCAAGTTGATTGAAGAAGATAGGAGAGCTATTGAAAAGCATCAGGTTAAACATCAATCTATCTATACTTTATTTTTCCCTTCCTTTTCCTTTGTTCAAACAGATTCTAGTGCATTGCCCAACTTGCATTTGGTATATGTGAGGACTTTATACAAAAATATGTTTTTATCCTTCTTGATGTAAGAGTAAATGATGACTTTAACTATATCTGGAAATTTGCTACTTGATGAAACTGGATCTTGTAATTTTTTTGTCTTTAAGATTAATTTATGTAGAATACATGCTTAGCAACTAATGAATTCCTTGTGACAAATATTCAAACTGTGTTTGCACACGTCTTGCCTATTCTATTTGAAAATCTATGTTCAGCTGCTTCCCTAATGCCAATTACTGAATGGTGCAATTGTTCAAAACTTCTATCCTACAAATTAATAGAGGTTAAATTATTCCAGAATCAGAAGTGTTTTGAACTTCACCATTTCAAATATTGCAGGAAGAGACTTCCACAATGAGAAAAGAAATCCAAGATCTTAGGACCAATGCCAGAATATTTCAGCTCAGCAAATGCACCACTTGCACATTCACACTCGACCTTCCTGCTGTCCATTTCATGTGTATGCACTCCTTCCATCAGCGTTGCCTTGGCGACAATGAGAAAGAATGCCCAGAGTGTGCTCCAGAGTACAGAGCTATTATTGAGACAAAGAGAAGCTTAGAGCAAAGCTCTAAAAGCCAAGATCTCTTCTTCCAGCAGGTTAAAAGTTCAAAGGATGGATTTTCAGTTATTGCAAAATATTTCGGGAAGGGGATTATCAGCAAAACTAGCACCAATGGGATTGCTGATAAGCCAACCAACCCTCCTCCCATTAACGAGTTTTGAAGTTTCAATCCACCAATTTTTCTTGAAAAATTTAATGCACGCCGCGACAAGTATAGAGAATGGTACATTCTCCATAAGAATGTCACGGGTACGTGTGAAGATCACATACACTTGCAACATAGCTGGATCGCTTCGGATCACCCTACTTGTGGTATATGTTAAGTTGATCTTTGTTGCTGGGTTTGCTTCTTAAAAACTTGATGTTTGCTGTAGAGTGCCACTTGGTGTTTGTTTCTCTTGAAGTGTACAATCCTGGTTTGATGGAAACCTAAAATTCCAAAATTCATGTTAGGAAATTGTCGTTTATTTCTACTATTCTATCATTTTAATCATTTCCTCATGAAAGGCTCTCATAGAGTCAGAAAATTTTCCCTCCCTCATGCAACATGCATAGTATATATTGGCTTGTCCGAGTATGTGTCTCTATTCAAAGTTGAAACTTACTCCGTAATTGTTTAGCTTAAGCAACTTCGGTTCCGTTACATGAATTGATAGAAGAGTCAAGTTTTGATGATTCACAATTTATAAGAATGTGACAAGATTTCACGTGCTATTCAGGGGCGGCCCAAAAATGAGAAAGGCTTTGTGCAAAAATATTTTGTGGACTCTGTTTTGTTTTGTATGGAGTATTTGTATTTTTAAATTAGTGTTAAATTTGATTTTTTAATGGCTACTTGTATGATAGTTGGACTGTTAAAATACATATTTATACATTGAGAAAACTATTTTGAAAAGTATCAAATGATTAGAACAATGAATCTTCCTATTTACAAGAATATTATTCCGCCTAAACTTATGTGCCAATTTATTATCCTGTCATTTACGTTTTATAAAAAGCCCATTCATATTTTTTACGAACTTATCTGAAGTTTCTAGCTTCTCTACTGAACTATTTACAAATATCATTTTGAATTTAAGAAAATTTAATACAACAAATCGAAAAAAATGATTAAGATTAATATATCCAACTTAATTTATGCAGAACATTAAGAAAATAAACAGCAGTATTATTTCACATAAAAAAGCATATGAAATCTAAAATTATTAACGTTTCAAACAAGGGTGCACTTCTGTAATTTAGTTTAATGACACTTTTTTTCTAGAAAATAATTAACCAATTCAAACCGCAAGGCAACACTCCTCCAGTTTCGTGGATAGGCAGCATTACCCCACTTTCATTAACAGTCTACCCCACTTTCTCAATCTGCAACCATTTCCTGCTCACTATAAAGGAAGGGCTAAAGGTGATGCAAGCAAAAAAAAAAAAAACAATGTCACTTGAAGTTAAGGCTAAGGTTGGTCAGTGGTCTCTCCTAAAAGATGTTGACCACACCAAGAATGAGTTGGGCACTTAGAATGAGAGCAATTCAAGTGTACAGTGTGCCAGTCCCGTGATGGAAGAGATGGTACAGTAGAGGTGATATTCCGCGATGAGTAGGTAAGAATTTAAATTTTTCAAGTGCTTACTTCATTGTTTTTTTTCTACTTTCATGAGGAATGAATTCTACTTTCTATAGGGAAGAAGAATCCATGGGCAAATTCTGAGGTCACAAATTAAGTGTTTTATACAAAAAATTAAGGAGGGAGGTGTTTATGCACTATGCAATTTCTTGGTTCATAACAACTATCAAGCGTACAAGACCACAGAGCACCCCTATCTGTTGGTTTTCTACAAGGACACAAAGTATTATGATATCAGTTCTTACATTGCAAACTTTAACAACTTTCACACATTAGATAGTCTCTTGGCACAACCAAACCTAAATGACAAAGTACTGATTGGTAAGAGTTCTACTTTGACTTTATAAAATTCAAAGCACATGATATAAATTAAATTTAATAATTTTTGTGGCACTCAAATTAGGAAAAAATTTACTTACGTTGGTTTATACTGAGTAAACATATTCTTACTTTGCATTATTCATCCAAAACAAATAAACATCAGGTACCTGCCAGGAATACATTAGGCTATAATGGACGGGCATGCAAGGAATACATTAGTACACTGTTTTTAAAAAATGGACGGGCCTGCTGGCCCGTAATGGGTCTATCTTAAATCACATATCCTTGCTTTCTAAAATCTAACCCGCCCTGCTCATGTGAGTGATTTTTGTTTTTGATGTCTTTTTTAAGGTTGACTAGACAGACGATCATTGTTTGCACATGTCTATGACTTGTTTGCACATGTGTATCACCTCCATACTTTATTATACCATGATGCATACACGTAGCTATTCCCTCCATCTTAAAACGTTTTTCCCACTTCCCATTTTTTATTGTCCTAAAACTACCTTCACACACACAAAATAGGGTGTACAATGACAAGACTACCCACAACCTTTATTTTAAGCCAAAAACAACCTTTCTCTATATTTGCTCCATTCTCACCTTATCTGATCTATTCTATAGTTTTCGCTTCCTCTCTCAAAACCCTATATCCATATCTTCGTCTCTCCATATCACCTCTCTATGTCTCTCCTTCTCCGCTCCTCTTTGTTTGTCTATAACTCCATTGCCCTCTCTCCATCTCTCTTTAACTTCCCTCTCCAATAAAACCCTAGATATAATCTTCATTGCCCCGCATACATATGGATTCTGTCAATTTTCAATATGAATCTTAGTTCCCTGAGACTAAGATTCAATTTCAAGGGATGAACTTTGAAGATGAGAAGGAAAAGGTTGATGTTTCAAACATAGAGGACACAGAGAGTGAGCCAGATGATGCTCAACCTGACTCTAATCCTCTCCCATGCGCCAGCATGGTCATCGCTAATAGTGAATATGAGAAAAGAGAGGTGGAGGATGAGCCCATGCAAGGATTTGGGAGCGATTTGGATGAACACCAGGAGCATGGGCGAGAGGAGAGGTAGGCCAGAGAACTGGGTGCCTGGTCTTGACATGAAAACATAGACAAACGAATTGGTTTGTCAATAAATTGGTATTTAAACACATCATATTTTCAAAACACTTTAAAACATTTAATTCAAAACAATATCTAAATATCATAAATTTATACTGAAATATTACTTAAATCAAAGCACAACTTTGAGTTCTTGTCCGAAAAAATCATAAATTCATGCTGAAATATTAAATTAACCACCTCCAAGGCCAGCATCCATCTCCCTATCCTCGCTGCCGTCCAAGATTTGTTCTTTATTCATCATTCATATTACCTACGCGTAGCAAGTAAACAAACTACATATATGCTCAACTTTCACGTACGTTGAGTGAGAGGTTTTAACAGTAGAAGTCACACATGTTAGTTGGTGTGCCCACACCTTAAAGGGGGGTGAATAAGGCGTTTAAAAACTTTTTAGAGTTTAGTAAAATTGGTGTTGACAAATGCGAAAGCAATAAATAAAGTGCAAAAATAAAAGTGTAAAGTAAAGACATGCCAATTTAGACTGGTTCAGGAATTCCCTACTCTAGTACCTTAAGGCTCCTCCTTAAGGATTTCCGAATTCACTAAGTCCCGGTCTCTTAAACTCCGTCAAAGCACCGCACTAGTTTTGGCAAACCCTTTCCAATGGGATTCACCCACGAGATTCCACCACGGCTATCTCGAACAGCTTACAACGAAGATTTCACGACTCTATCTTCAACTGTTTCCCGCAAGAATTTACTAGGCTATCCTTGAACCTTCTAAACAAGGATTTATACGACTATCCTTGACCATTACAACTTGAGAATTTAACGGCTATTCTCCATCGTAATAAGGTGTGTATGAATAACACAAAAATAGGTTCTACACAACGGCTTGATCTCAAAGATGAAGAACAAACCTTAGTCGGTGTAGAACGAAAATATACTCTCTCAAAAATAAAATGTAAACCTATGAATATGAAAGTATATATCTAAACCACAAGCTCAAAAGTGTGTGTATGAAAATTAGGAGAATAAGGTTTTTAAAATAGCTAAAATATAAAGAATGAAGAATAAAAAGATGAACACACTTAAAATATAAAAGTATGATGTTTGGAGCTAGGTTTCTTGTTAAAACATTAAGGACTAAGACTATATTTATAGTGGAAAAAATTAAGTATCCGTTTGAGAGTAATTAGGGTGGATTTTGACCAAAAAAAGATGATTAGATTTGAATGTCAGAATTTGAATTTTTCTCCGATGGTAACAGTAGCAAGGTACCGACTTAACGGTATCAAGGTACCGTTTGGACGGTAAGGGGTACCGTAAAGGGCGGTCTCTGGGTACCATCTCAGGCCATTTGGTTCAGGCAAAACTTGTACCTGGCGGGAACTGGTTATCGGTCCAACGGTATAGCCTAGCATTAGGCGGTAGAGAGGTACCAGAACAGCTACTGGTAACCTGATCTGATTTTTTCAGAAATTGCTTAATCTTTTAAATTTGAGTTTAAAACCTTTTGGGTATTTGAAAAAGTTCATGAGATGGTTTTTAACATATTTTGTTAGTGCATTTGAGCTTGTTAATATAAGTATATAAAATCATATCCTCACATTTATTGTTACCTATATTCTATGCTATTTTAGTGTTTCAACTCCTTTCTTAAGAACCAAATCTTAATGGATTCTTGTTGTACCTAAACCACTTAAATAGTTTAAAGATCTTATATTGTTTGTTAACATCAAACCACGAGGCTTAAAAAACCAAGTCTAACAACACATAGGGTTTATTCAACGTGCATAATCATTCATAGCATTCCATGCACAAGTAGTATCACATATCAACATTAAATGATATCAACAACTCAAAAATTAAATCTTCTTACATTCTTGGCTCATAATCTATTCTAGGCTAAGGCCAACTCATCATCATTCTCAACCTTATCTTAGGACTTAGAGCCACTTCATGCGATCATGACTCAAGTTCATTTCCAACTTTACTCTAAAGTACTGGTCCTTAGCATTTTTATAATGTACAGGACTTTGGAAAAATAGTACCACTTTTCTTTTAAAAATGAATATCATATTTTTTTTGGTACTATCTCGTCCTAATTAGAAATTAGAACTATAGGAAATGAAAAAAACCCAAGTCTAAAATATTTAGGGCACATTGCTCTTTGAGTGATTGGATGGATTGAAAAAAACCCAAGTCTAAAATATTTAGGTCTGGGAGTTGGGGGGTTGGTTTCATAGAGTTATGTTGAACCCATTTGCACTTGCTGCTACCATAAACTGTGGGTTTGTGCCAGAAATGTGAGATTTGGCATTATCTTATTGGAGCACAATGCTTCTTCCTAAGAAATAGGGCAATATCTCATGAATTATAGGGCCAACTTGGTTTACTAACATTTCTTTAGTCACCTCTTTGGTAACACTGAGAAGTTGTTTCAGTTGTAAACT